GGCTTGAGGGGTCAAAGTGGTCCTCGCAGAGCAGGCGCTCCCTGCAGCTGACCCTCCTCCTCTCATGGCATTGGACGCAGCAGGCCTCCCGCCTCACAGCACACTCCTGCTCTTGGTTCCAGGACCCCCTGCCCTCCTGGTTTTGCCCCACCCCACAGGCAGCTTTGCTAGGTCACCCTCATCTTGGTGACCTCTGGCCTCTGGCGCAGCCGGGGCCCTTCCTCCGAGCCCTTCGGTTCTCTGCCTATGCTCCTGCGGCAAAGGCTCTGCTCTGCGGGCCCATTCCCCGTCCACAGAATCTGCTGCTCAGACCCCTCCCCAAGCTCCAGACCATGCTCCACAGCCCCTAAGGGGCCTGAGGGCACCGCCACCTCATGCATCCAGAGCACTGCTGATTGTCCCCTAGCCCTCTGTGTCCCAGCAAATGTGCTCCAGGGCTCAGGGTCGAGCCCTGGAGTTGTGTTCGCTATTTTCTCTCCCACCCACCCCTCGGTGAGCCCTGCATTCAGGCTGTCCAGGATCCAGCCCCTTCCCTGGGGCTTCCTGGGCATCCAGGGCTCAGGGTTCCATCAGTGTCTGCTGCCATGCCCTGGCTTCCATCTTTTTTTTTTTTTTTTTTTTTTTTTGCAGAGTCTCGCTCTGTTGCCCAGGCTGGAGTGCAGTGGCAAAATCTCAGCTCACTGCAACCTCTGCCTCCCGGGTTCAAGCCATAACTAGGATTACAGGCGAGTGCCACCATGCCCAGCTAAGTTTTGTATTTTTTTTAGTAGAGATGAGGTTTCATCATATTGGTCAGGCTAATCTCGAACTCCTGACCTGGTCATCTGCCCACCTCAGCTTCCCAAAGTGCTGGGATTACAGGCGTGAACCACCACGCCTGGCCCCTGGCTTGTCTCTATGCTGTCTGTCCTGCCAAAGCATAGCCCTTCCCGGGGGTGGGGGGTTGGGGAACTGAATGTCTCCAGTACCTGGGGAGCCTGGCATGCGGTATGTGCTTGTGGAAGGAATGACAGGATAAATGCACATGAGGACCTGGAAGACAAGCCAGAAGTGGCCGGAGTGTGGGGTAGGCAAGGCCACATTATCGCTCCCATTTTACAGAGGAGGAAACTGAGGCCTGACAGGCTTCCTGAGCTGCTGATGGCAGCAGCCCTGGTGTGCAGAGCTGGATCTCAGCCCACGCCTGGTAACTCCCTGCCCCACCACTGTCTACTAGGGAGGGAGACTTGGGCCACAGAGAGCTGGATGCGGTGGGAGAAGCCACATTAGTGATTCATCTGAAAACCACAGTTGAAAGGGCAAATGCTGGCCCCGAGGACAGAGCACTCGGTGGGCAGGATGGGCAGGGATGGGCAGGATGGGAAGGGGTGGGCAGGGAGCAGAGCAGCCCTGCCCCCATAATGGAATGGCGCCCATCTGTTTTCAAGAAGGCTCCCTCCCTGTTCCACGGGACCCCTTGCCCCGGCCCAGCCTCCCCAGCACCCCCAGGAGGCCTCTTTCCTGGAGATCCTGCCTCCTCCCCTTGCCAGCCCCAACCTACAGTCTACCCCACATCTGTGGCAGCAGAGGGAGGCTTATACAATGCCAACTGCAGCCACTTTCTTGTCCTGGTGGCCCCCACTGCCCTCCGGGTGGACACCGTGGCATTTGGCCTCCCGTGGCCTGCGCTGGCCTGCGGCTCACCTCCTTTCCGTCTGACTGCATACCTCTGTGCATCCCTTACACATCGTGACACTCCTGCCCCCAAGCTGTTCACCATGCCTCAGACACCTTCTCAGACAGGGAGAGCTTAGAAATTCCTCCTGTGTTTTCAGAAGACAGCGCAAGATGGCCCCGAGACGTCTGCGGCAGTCCCCTGCAGACCTGGGGCCCCTTCCTGGGGCCCTGCAGCAGCACTCATCTCTCTGGCAGCCCCAGCAGTCTCACTGACAGAGCCTCAAGGCCAGGCCTGGGTCTCTGTCACCACGGGGTCCTCCATGCCTAGCCCAGGCCCAGGACCAGGGAGGGACACCGGCAGCTGAGCTCTAGGGACCGTGCTTTCCAGCCCCGGCAGGGCCAAAGAGCTGAGCCCAGGTCAGCCTCGCAGGAGAGCCACTGCCCGTGAGCTCACAACCTCAGCCCTGGCGGTGTCCAAGCCGGCTGGCTCAGGGAGGACACAGACACCAGGTCCCCAGCTGCCCAACAAGAGGAGGCACCAAGGTGCCCTGGGGTGGAGCACAGTCTCTGACTATGACAATGCCCTCAAGAAGCAGGTGGTGCAGGGGAGGGGACGCTGGCTTTGAGGACACACATCTGGGTTTGATCCAAGGACAGCTCTTTACCAGATGGACAAGCCTCAGTTTCCCCCCTCTGTTTTGCTTTATTTTGTTCTGTTTTGTTTTGTTTCTGAGAGTCTCACTCCTTTTGTCCAGGCTGGAGTGCAATGTCTCGATCTCGGCTCACTGCAACCTCCGCCTCCCAGGTTCAAGCGATTCTCCTGTCTCAGCCTCCCGAGTAGCTGGGATTACAGACGCCAGCCACCATACCCAGCTAATTTTTGTAATTTTAGTAGAGATGAAGTTTTGCTGTGTTGGCCAGGCTGGTCTTGAACTCCTGACCTCAAGTGATCCACCTGCCTCAGCCTTTCAAAGTGCTAGGATTACAGGTGTGAGCCATTGCACCTGGCCCCCTCTCTGTTAAATGAGCAATTCCATGCCCACCTCCTCAGGCTGTTTTGAGAATTAAATGAAAATAAGGACAAGTCCCAGCAGACTTCGTAAACTATCAAGTGCTACGCAGACGCCAGCGCTTCTCTGAGTCTGAGAGGCTTACACGTTCTAACAAAGCAGAGGAGTGAAAACTCCAGCTCCAGTCTTGTCAGTATCTTGGTGAAACATAGACCTAGATTCAAATCTTGCCTCTGCCACTTCCTGGCTTCGTGGCCTCGGCAAGTCACCTGCCCTCTCTGAGCCTCCTCTCCCTCAGGTATAGAACCGAGATGATGGGAAGACTCGCCTGCAGGTTTGTGGAGAGGCCCATGAGAGAAGGCAGGTCAGGTGTTCAGAGCCCTACCTGGCTTCATGCTCTGAGCCATTATGTGCTGTGACTGGGGGTGGCGCCGGCTTCTGCCTGAGAGTTAAGTAGCTCTCAGCAGCTAATCCTGCAGTAAATGGGCTGGGGTTTGGCAGGAGGCCAGGGGTTTTAATTAGCTCCTGCCCTGAGATGAGGCAGTTGTGGCTCCACTGTCAGCAGGGACAGTGTGGTGCCTGCAATGAGCGGGGCCATCCAGGCCACCTCCCTCTGCCTCCGAAGGGCCGGAGGGCCGCCTGCACCGCCTCCTGACCTGCCCAGGCTTCACCTTCCCAGCAGGCCCGGCCCAGCCTCCGCCGTGACCATTAGCGCTCCAGGCAGCAGCCAGCAGACGCTTTCTCCAGCGCAGCTCTGACCTGCTCCCACTTCCAGCCCTCAGTTATTTCTTACCCTCTTCATGCATCCTGCAAGGCCACTCCAGCCCCTCCTGGACAGGCTTCCCTCTCTGGCCACTCTGACCTTCTCTCTTTCTCATTTTTTTTTGAGATGGGGTCTTGTTTCGTCACCAGGCTGGAGTACAGTGGCGTGATCTCGGCTCACTGCAACCTCCGCCTCCCGGTTCAAGTGATTCTCCTGCCTCAGCCTCCCAAGTAGCTGGGATTACAGGTACTCCACACCATGTCTGGCTAATTTTTGTATTTTTAGTAGAGAGGGGGTTTTGCTATGTTGGCCAGGCTGATCTTGAACTTCTGACCTCATGATCTGCCCACCTCAGATCATGATCTGCCTCCCAAAGTGCTGGGATTATAGGCATGGGCCACCGTGCCCAGCCTACACTGACCTCTAAGTTGCTCAGGACCACCAGGCCTTGGCACATGCTGCTCCCTTTACCAGGGGCTCCCTCCTCCCTCTCTTGCTAAATGAACTTGCCCTCAGGATTTCACCTTCAATATTGCTTCTGCCGAGTGGGGCATTGGCTTCCTCCTCATGTGCCAGAGGCTCCGTGACCTGCGATCAGCCCCCATACCATGTTTTGGCAAAACTGCTGGTTCATCCTCTGTCTCTTCACTGGCCCCTGAACTTCAGGAGGCTAGGGACGGTGCCCACTTCCTCACACTGTGTGCTGGTTGACCGAGGACCTCCTGAGCGCCACCTCCCTAGCACCAGGCACCTACTCCCCGTGCTCCCCTTGAGTCTTTGCAACAATCTCACAAAGGAGGGTTATTGCTGAAGAAACCAAGACCTGCCACCAGGCATGGTGGCTCATGCCTGTAATCCCAGCACTTTAGGAGGCCAAGGCAGGCGGGTCACCTGAGGTCAGGAGTTCAAGACCATCCTGGCCAACATCGTGAAACCCTGTCTCTACTAAAAATACAAAATTAGCCAGTCATGGTGGCATGCACCTGCAGTCCCAGCTACTTGGGAAGCTGAGGCAGGAAAATCGCTTGAACCTAGCAGGTGGAGATTGCAGTGAGCCAAGGTTGCACCACTGCACTCCAGCCTGGGCAACAAGTGTGAAATTCCTTCTCAAAAAAAAAAAAAGAAAAGAAAAGAAAAGAAAAAAGAAACCAAGGCCCAGAGAGGGGAACTGGCTTGCTCGAGGCCAGAGCCAGTGACAGCAGGGCAGGACTGGACACCTGGCCTGGCCGGCGCCACTAGAGACTCACCCACGAGAGCCGGCTTGGTCCCTGGGGCCCTGCCGCACTGGCACCGGGCCCAGCAGCTTGCGTCGCTACAAGCCAGGTGCTCCGTCCAGGGAACGCACCTCGTGTGGGCCTTTTCCATTTCCTGTGTCTCCAGGTGCATGAGTGGCTTGATGCAGGTCTTGGAGGCATTTGCCATGTTTCACTGGAGAGGGTGAGTGGGAGGGACGGAGTGATGAATCTCTGTGTGGCCTCATGACAATCTGCCATCCCTTCCCTTGGTGGGGTCTGCACGGGGAGGAAGATGGGAGCCACTCATCCCTGGCCCTGACTCCTTTCTCCCTGCAGAGGCAGATGCAGGCTCCACAGAAGGACCCCACCAGGAAGTGCCCAGCTCTAGGATCTGCCAGCAGCCCGAAGCAGCCTCCTGCAGAATCCGTCTACACAGTGAGTGCGGGGCCCAGGCTCCCTCCACCTCTCTCAGGCCTGAGGCAGGGTCTGATTCCCTGGCTCAGTCCTTCTCTTTCTTTCTTTCTTTCTTTTTCTTTCTTTCTCTCTTTCTCTCTCTCTTTCTTTCTTTCCTCTGTCTTTCTTTTTTTTTTTTTTTTTTTTTTGAGACAGAATTTTGGTCTGTCACCCAGGCTGGATTGCAGTGGTACCATCTCAGCTCACTGCAACCTCTGCCTCCCGGGTTCAAGAAATTCCCTTGCTTCAGCCTCCTGAGTAGCTAGGGTTACAGGCGCGTGCCACCATGCCCAGCTAATTTTGTATTTTTAGTAGAGACAGGGTTTCACCATGTTAGTCAGGCTGGTCTCGAACTGCTGACCTCGTGATACGCCCACCTCTGCCTCCCAACATACTGGGACTACAGGCATGCGCCGCTGCGCTCGGCCCCCTGCTTTAGTCTTATACCAGCTGCATGACTTCTCCTAGCCTCAAGTTCCTCATCTGTAAAATAGGGACAATTCCCACCTCGTGGAATTTCTGTGAAGCTGAAAAGAGACGACACGTGCAGGCCCCCGGGAAAGCATACGAATGCCAGGTGCCCCCCACGCCCTGTTCCCCTCCTTGACACAGCCCCTCATTCTGGAAAAAGTGAGGGCACAAGCTGGTGAGGATAAAGAAAGCTCCTTCATCTGACCAAACAACTGTCCCCACTTCCTCCTGTTTTTATTGCACAAACAACACAAATCACAAAAAGAGGAAGAGATCAGGCGCCATCCCACGCCCTTAACACACCGGTGACTTTTAACTATTTGCTCTCTCCCCTCCTGGCACATGCAGACACTGTCGCCATCGCAGCGGCAACACAGGTTGGGACCCTGTTTGCTCCAGGCCGCCCCAGCCCAGCCCAGCCGGCCAGCACGCGGCCCTCGGGCCAGTAGCTGGGGCTCGGGAGGGCGGGGAACCCCCTTCTTGCTATGCTCCTTTCAGCTCCATGAACAGCATATGCTCCCAGCAGAGCAAGTGAAGAACAAATGCCACCCAGTGCCAGCTGGGGTCCCCATCCCGTGAGATCTGGCACCGCCAGGTGGGCTCCCCACTCTGCACCCGGGAGGCACAGAGCTCTTCTGGGGCCCTGCAGTTTCTGCAGGTGCACGCTCCCTGGCTGCTGGGCACTTGGCTTCTCCTCGCATGTGCTGCCGTTTCTGTCCCCACAACATCAACTCACTCTAACTACGCCACCGAACTCCACACAGAGGACACCTTGTCTGCTGAGGATGGGGCGGGTGGCATCCAGGCCAAGGAAATGTCCCTGTGGGGCAGTGCCAACAGTTAGTTCCAAGTGGAATACGGCATTTCTCAGAGGGCTCTCAGCCTCTCCGCCCTGGGGAATTTCCATCAGCCATGGCTTTGCACGTGGCCAGAGCCTTCCTCATATTCTCTGCTGTCTCCCAGCATCTCGTGGTGGTGGTATTTTCCCTACCAGGGATTCTGGTGTCAACTGTTAGATGAAAATATTTTCTCTCTCTCTCCCTCTCACTCTCACTTTCCCTCTCCCCCAGCATACACATATGTGAAATATATATATATATATTTGAATATATATGAAATATATATATATTTTTCTTCATATATATATATATATATATATATATATATATATATGAAGAAAATAACCAGCATCCTAATCCCATCTTTTTCCAGGATAAATGCTAGTAACATCGACTAATATATTTTCCAGTATTTTTTCTATAAATATATACAAAGAAACCCATACACACTCACACATCCTTCTTTTTTAATTGGAGTAATACAGCAATTTTTTTCATGAACATCCTTCCACACGAATAAATATCCTTCTATGAGATTATTTTTAATAGAAGAGCTCTTTTGAAAAGCAGAACTCCCTTTTTGCCTGGGTTTAGAAGCTGCCGGGACTCAGACTGACTTCTCTGAAGAGAGCTACCTGCTTGCAGGGTTGCGAGGCAGCTTGGAGAGGAGAGGTGGTAGGACTTTGCTGAGCCCTTGACATAAGGCTCTACCCACTGGGATTGGACCTGGGCAGAAGAGAATGGCATTCACAACGATGATGATGATATCAAGTACCATTTATTTGTACCTTCTGTGTGCCAGGCAACATGGCAGGACTTTACACCAGATACATTTTATTGACCCTCTTAATAAGGCTTTGGGGTATAGGTGTTGTTCCCATTGTCACTACTTCAATTTATTTTTAAAAATTTTGACCTATTCAGGCCGGGCGCGGTGGCTCAAGCCTGTAATCCCAGCACTTTGGGAGGCCGAGGTGGGTGGATCACGAGGTCAAGAGATAGAGACCATCCTGGTCAACATAGTGAAACCCCGTCTCTACTAAAAATACAAAAAATTAGCTGGGTATGGTGGCGCGTGCCTGTAATCTCAGCTACTCAGGAGGCTGAGGCAGGAGAATTGCCTGAACCCAGGAGGTGGAGGTTGCAGTGAGCCGAGATTGCGCCATTGCACTCCAGCCTGGGTAACAAGAGTGAAACTCCGTCTCAAAAAAAAAAAAAAAAAAAAAATTTTTTTTGACCTATTCTTTGGGAGGCCAAGGTGGGAGAATCACCTGAGGTCAGGAGTTTGAGACCAGCTTGGCCAACATGATGAAACCCCTTCTCTGCTAAAAATACAAAAATTAGCTGGGTGTGGTGGTTCATGCCTGTAGTCTCAGCTACTTGGGAGTTTGAGGCAGGAGAATCACTTGAACCCAGGAGGCAGAAGTTGCAGTGAGCTGAGATCATGCCATTGCACTCCAGCCTGGGTGACAGAGGGAGATTAAATAAATTTAAAAATAAAAGAGCAAACTTGATTAAAAGCATGAATTTCGGGTGGGTCAGAGAGACCCACCAAAACCCCCATCCAAGCCTTGTTCTTTTGCTTACTGGTTCTGCTACTTAAACTTTCTGAGTCTTAGTTCCACGATCTACAAAATAGGGTTAACAGTACAATCCTGGTTTACAGCTTACAAACATGCTGTGACTTCATCCGTCTGAAATTCCTTGAGCCCGCCTCTCCCTCCAGCTCCCTGCCCTTTCTCCACAGCACTTTAGAACAGTGTTCCTGGTGGCTCAAGCCTGTAATCCCAGCACTTTGGGAGACCGAGGCGGGTGGATCATGAGGTCAGGAGTTCGAGACCAACCTGGCCAATATAGCGAAACCCCATCTCTACTAAAAATATAAAAAATTAGCCAGGTGTGGTCACGCATGCCTGTAGTTCCAGCTACTTGGAAGGCTGAGGCGGGAGAATCACTTGAACCCGGAGGCGGAGGAGTTGCTCCACTGTTGTCAGGTCCCTCTCGCCTGCAGCCCCTCTCCCTCTCCTTTCTGTTCCTCTCTGTTCGCTTACAGCCCTCCTCTTCGCCAGAACCTTCCTTCTCAGTCATCACTGACTCCCATCGTTAAACCTATGGGCAGCTCTCCTTCCTCACCTCCCTTGATGAATCAGCAGCATCTGACACCCTTGAGCTCTCCCTCCTCCTCAAAACACTTTCTTCACTTGCTTCCAGAACATTCCACTCTCTCCTGATCTTCCCCGGCCTCACTGCCATGCCTCCTCGGTCCCTTTCACTGGTTCCTTCTCCAGAACCAGAGGAAACCTGACCTGCAAAGATTGGAGTAAATGTTGGAACCCATCCTTCCACCCCTCTTCTCCCATCTTCACTCCCTCCACTGGGTGACCTCATTTAGCCACAAGGTTCTGAAGACCGTCTACATCCTGACAACTCCCAACTTTATATTTCCAGCCCAGACATCACTGAACACCACAGTCAACCCCACTTGAATGTCTAAATGGCATCTCTCTCAAAGCAAACTCCAATTTTTCTTTTCTTTTCTTTTCTTTTCTTTTTTTTTTTTTTTTTTTTTTGAGACAGAGTCTTGCTCTTGTAGCCCAGCCTGGAGTGCAGTAGCGAGATCTCGGCTCACTGCAACCTCCGCCTCCCAGGTTCGAGTGATTCTCTTGCCTCAGCCTCCTGAGTAGCTGGGATTATCGGCGCGAACTGCCACACCCGGCTGATTTTTGTAGATGGGGTTTCGACATGTTGGACAGGCTGAACTCCTGACCTCAAATGATCCACCCACCTCAGCTTCCCAAAGTGCTGGGATGACAGGCATGAGCCACTGTGCCCGGTCTCAAATTCCAATTCTTTACCCCTCTGAGTGCCTCTTCCCCCGTCTCGTCGTTGCTGCGCCATCCTTCCTCCATCCCTCGTTGCTCACTGGAAATGCTGAAGTTGTTCTCTCTGTCTGTCTTTCAATCACTGCCCATATCTGATCCATCAGCAAATCTTGCTTCAAAATGTATCCAGAATCCAACTCTTCTCACTGCCCCAGCACTAACAGTGGTGAGAGCCAGTCCCATTTCTTGCCTGGAGTCCTGCCGTTGGTCTCTAAGCAGCTGGTCTATTTGTATCCTCTCCCCTCCCCGTGTCCCCCTACCCCACCCCCACCCCCACCCCTGTTCGTTTTCCACCTGGCAGCAGCCAGTGACCTTGCTAAGCCATCGACAGATCATGGCCCTCTGCTCAGAGCCCTCTGAGACAGAGATACCAAGATGGGTTTAGACGAGCAAGGGTTTGTTTGTTTGTTTGTTTGTTTGTTTGTTTTTTGAGACAGAGTCTCACTCTGTCACCGGGCTGGAGTGCAGTGGCTCAACCTCAGCTCACTGCAACCTTCACCCCACCAGGTTCAAGCAATTCTCCTGCCTCAGCCTCCTGAGTAGCTGGGACTACAGGTGCCGCCACCATGTCCAGCTAATTTTGGCATTTTTAGTAGAGATGGGGTTTTACCATGTTGGCCAGGATGGTCTCAATCTCTTGACCTTGTGATCCACCCACCTTGGCCTCCCAGAGTGCTGGGATTTCAGGCATGAGCCACCGCGCCCAGCCTGCTCCCTGATTCTTTCAGCTCTCTGCCTGCATGGGACCTTTCAGTGCAGCCTTTTTCCTGACTTTTCTTTCAGAATTACAGCCTCCCTCCTTTCCTGTCCCATCCCAGCCTCCCCATCTTCCTTCTCTGAGTGACTCCAGTGTCCTCATGGGCACCTTTTACCGAAGTGATTGTCAGTCTGGAGCTTCCTCCTCGTCCCACACCAGCCTGGCATCTGGCACACAGTAGGTGCTCAGGGATCACCCACTCTATGATGGGCAGAAGCCTGTTCTTACCTGCCAGGGTGTCTGTGGTTCCACGGGGCCTGGCACAGGGAAGGGGGGACACCCAGTAGCAGATGTGAGGTGTCAGGATGTGGTCTGCATCTTCCTTCAGCAGTGGTGCTCAGAGCCCCCACCCGCCCAGCAGCTCTGTCCCAGACCTGCCCAGCCCGCGTCCTTGATCTTGCTCTCAGCCTCCAGTCCCTCCTGCTCCCGCTCCTGCTCTGAGCTGCAGCCGGAGGGATCTTTTTAACACACAGCTCTGGTGCCTGGTGAGGAAGGTCTCCAGGCGCTCCCCATTGCCAGTGCCTGGTCTAGAGTTGAATTGCTTCTCCAAGGAGTGTACTCCTTCCCGAAAAACACCCCGAATCTCACCCGTCACCCCCAATGTCCAAGACCCTCAGACTAGGTCCAGGCCCAGGGATGCTAACCTCAACTCTGGCCTCAGCCTGCCTGGAGGAAGGCCTTGCTGTTGACTTCACATGGATGACATGTGCTTGGATGACAACTGGGGTCAGCACCATGGCCCACTGGACAGCAGGAGGCAAAGGGCCTGGAGTGCCTGGATCCCAGACAAACAGCTCCGGCCCAGCCCAGTCCCCACCCTTACCCCAAAGCCCCTAGCCTAGCTCAGCCCAGCCCCAGCCCCCAACCCCCAACCCCCAACCCCCAGCCCAGCCCCACAAGCGGCCCCCTCCAAGGCCTGTGCAATCTCCCAGCAGGCAAACCTAATGGAGGGCCAGGAGGGGATGGTTCAGGGGCTCGGAGGGTGTCCTGTTGCCAAGGCGGCACCCTGCGTTTCACAGCCTCGTGATGCAGGGCAGACCCTGCATATAGATGCACCCCAGCAGGTCAGGACTTGTCAAAGGCTTCACTCAGCAGCTGCTAACTGGTGGCCACCTCCACAGCCTCCCCTGCCCTCAGCCCGGCAGCTGCTCCTGCCCTGCCTGCCTCACCACTGCTTCCTTGCCCACTGGCCTACTCCCCCACTGTGTGGGTCAGGGGCCAGCAGGGTTCCAGGGAAAGCTGGTCTTCTCTGGCCGTGCATCGCCTGCCCTCTCTGGGCTCATGTGTTCTGGGCAGCCTGGCCAAGCTGGACAGGAGGGAGAGAACCACCTGTGGGTCCCCAGACCTGCTCCTCTGCCAGGACGCAGGCAAGGAGGCTGCTCCCCTCCCTTCTCTCTGTGACCAGAAACATCCAGCTCAGAGAGACTGTCAGATCTCAAGACCTCAAAGGGGTCTGGGCCTGAGTGGGTGGAGGGTGGAGAGCACAGGACCACAGAGGAACATTCCCATCCTTGGTGCCAGGGGAGCCGGGGTGCCTGGTGCTCTGGGCAGGTATGAAGGCCACACAAGCCAGGACAGGCCTTGGAAGTTTCTCCCCACTGGAAATGGGGCTTCTTCCTGGGGCAACCCTAGTGCCTTTCCTACAAGGAGGCAGGCTGAAAGCCCCTCTCCCAGACCCAGCCTATTTCTGGCTCAAAGACCCCTTGAACTCGTCCCCAGGGCCACCCCACCATCCCCGTGCCTGATGCCCTTGAAGTGAGGGTCTCCCAAGTGCCAAATGGTTTATTGCTTGGATTTTCATGCCCAGCTGCCTCTTGGCGCCTGCCTCCCTCCCTCCTCCCCTCCCGCCTCCCGCCTTCCTCCTGCCTCTGAGCACCACCTGTCTCTCCAGCCTGCCTCAGCAACCCCTGCTTGCCTGTTGCCAGGGAAACCGCCTCCTTGGCAACCAGCCGGCATCCATATGACATGTGCACTCAGGAAGGAAAGGCTTCTGCTCTTGCTTAGGCTGTTGGTGGGCTCTGCCGTGAAGCCCAACAGGTTCTGAGGAAGGGTCTGTCTGGTCTGTGATCCCAGAGAGGGGAGGTGGGCAGGCATCATGCCTCTCTTGACCATTCAACAGCAGCTTATAAAGCACCTACTACTTGCCTGCCTATGTGTGGGACTCTCTGTGCACAGTATCTCATTTAATCATGCATTGAGCCTGCAAAATAGATGTGATTATTCTCATTTTATAGACATGTAAACCGAGGCATGGAGAGGTTAAGGGGTTCCCTTTGGCCAGCAGAAGTCAGAGCCGAGATTTGAACCTACGCTTGTCTCATTTGAAAGCCCCAGTTCTTCTTTTTTGAGACAAAGTCTCTCTGTTGCCAGGCTGGAGTGCAGTGGCATGATCTTGGCTCACTGCAACCTCTGCCTCCCAGATTCAAGTGATTCCCCTGCCTCAGCCTCCTGAGTAGCTGGGACTTACAGGCGGGCACCACCATGCCCAGCTAAGTTTTGTATTTTTAGTAGAGACAGGGTTTAACCATGTTGGCCAGTATGGTCTCAATCTCCTGACCTCGTGATCTGCCGGCCTTGGCCTCCCAAACTGCTGGGATTACAGGCGTGAGCCCCGGTGCCCTCCCAAAAGCCCCAGTTCTTTCTACCACCTTGAGCTCTCTGATCAGGCCTCTCTTAGCTAGGCCAAGAGTGAGTGGGTCCTAGGACACCCGACTGACGGGGAAGCTCCTCACGATAGCTTGTTGGGTGCTGCTCCCTTTGTGCCAAACACAGCTGTGGGATCAGGAGCCCAGAGACAAACTAGGCATGGACCCTGCCCTCAAGGGGCTCCCAGTCTGGTGAGATGCTGGTGGGAGCAGGATTCTGACATGATCCAGTACAGGAGCCATGGGGCCCAGGGCAGGGCCTCCAACCGCAGCTGAGCTCAAAACTCACTTGGGCTTCCTGGGAGGAGGCTTGGGCTGTGGAGAGCCCGTGGTCAGAGAGTGGATGGCGGGAGCTTGAGATCTCCAGGGAGGTGTATATGGGTGATGGCTACATACCAGGTGGCCCGGGAAGGGTGGCTGAGGAGAATGAAAGGAAAGTGACAGGCAAGGGGGCTGAGGGGTGTGCTGAGAACCAGGGCTGGACTCTGGAGTCCCCCAGCAGGGCACCAGCCCAATGGCCAGGGAGTGTGACCTCAGTGGGTGCCTGGTTATCCTTGAGTACAGGCTGGTGGGAGGGAGTTGGGTAGAGCCAGAGGGTGCGGGTGGGTGGGAGGACCCTCACGGGAGCCTGGGCTTTGAGCAGGGGCGTGAAGGCAGAGGTCAGGGAGGCATCCTATTGGAGCAGTGGCCACAGGTGTCATTGCAGGGGCCTGCTGGCTGCCAAGCCCTTGAGAGCCTAGGGACAGGCAGGGACAGCAGGAGGAGACCTGGCCCTTCCTCTGGCCAGCCTACTGGAAGCCCGGATAAAACCTGCCAGGTGGAGCACAAGGCTTTACTGGAGTCCTAAAGCGGGCTTAGGGAGGTGGCAGAGAACAGAGAGGGGTCAGCCCTGTACAGGCAGGGAAAGGGTGAGGTGACTCTGGGAAAGGGGGTGGCAGGTGCAAAGGTGTGGCCAGGCTCCGCCCTCTCCTGGGCTCCCATGGCGGAGTGTATAACAGGCAGGGAGGCCAGCTGCTGGGGCCGGGGACTGCCCTTCTGCACACCTGCCCCTGATCTTGGCACCCTGTCTCTTGCAGGCTCTGCAGCGCCGCGAGACGGAGGTCTATGCCTACATTGAGAGTGAGAATGGCAGCCCACCCACCGCCACGCACAGCCCGCTCTCCAAGGTGCACAGGCGCGGGGCCGCAAGCCTGGCTTCTCACTGCATCTGACCCTCCCATCATGGGTGAAGTGGGGGGCAAATGGGACATGGAAATGAGCCACCTGCTGTGGAATCTCAGTCCTCTCCTGGTGGCAGCTGGCCTGCTGGTTAGGACTGGAGGGTAGTTCCTGCTCCGTCCCTTAGCCACTGTGCAGCCCTGGGTGAGGCAACTTACTTCTCTGTGTCTGAATCTCCCTGTGTGCAGACTGAGCCACCTAACCGTACCCACATCAGAGATTTTCAGTGAGGGTAGAAGGTTGTGCTGAGGGAGCTGCCTGGGACCTGCTGTGCCCACGCACTGTGAGCCAGTATAACTACCACGGGCACGGTGTCCACACTGGCCAAGCACAGAGGGTGTTAGGCTTCTAGCTGCCCCCAGGCCAGTGTTGGCTCAAGTCTGGAGCTAGAGTGTGAGCTGTTAGAAGCTGGGCTGCGGCCAGGCGCGGTGGCTCAAGCCTGTAATCCCAGCACTTTGGTAGGCCGAGGCGGGTGGATCACGAGGTCGAGAGATCGAGACCATCCTGGTCAACATGGTGAAACCCCGTCTCTACTAAAAATACAAAAAATTAGCTGGGCATGGTGGCGCGTGCCTGTAAATCCAGCTACTCAGGAGGCTGAGGCAGGAGAATTGCCTGAACCCGGGAGGCGGAGGTTGCGGTGAGCAGAGTTCACGCCATTGCACTCCAGCCTGGGTAACAAGAGCGAAACTCCGTCTCAAAAAAAAAAAAAAAAAAAAAGAAGCTGGGCTGCGGGTCAGGGCTCTGCAACAGTCATGATAGAGCCTCAGGCGTATTACGCACCATACCTTCTGTCTTAAACCTGTTTGCTCATCTGTAAAGTGGGTGAGCAATGCTTTCCTGCAACACCAACTGCTCCTGAGTTCAGATGTGTTCCAAGTTGAGTGACATCTGCGTCAGAGCTTTCAGCACTGTGAAGTGTGAGGTGTCATTCAGCCAGGACAGCAGCTCATGGGCACCTTGGAGCACCCATCAGGGAGGGTGGGCAGCTGGCACTTGGCCTTCTGGCCTTGGCTGGCACTATTTGTTAAATTGCCTGTTCTCGTAGCCCTTTCTATACTCAGCCCTCAACTAGACCCCGAGTGAAAGCAGGGTTTCCCCTAGCCTAGGACCCCCAGGGATGTCTGGGCCATCTCAGGCAGTGCCCACCCTGTGCCAGGCCCTGGAGTGCTGGTCAGGAGAACTAGGCATGTCCCTGGCCTCTGGGAGCCACAGTCTATAGGAACAGGTCACTGACCCCATGGACAAACAGTGGTATTTGTAGCCCTCTTGTGAGGGGTGGTCTTCTGGGAGGGACCAGCCAGGGCGGGGAGTGGGGAGGGGGTCCTGGGACCCTACCATGAGCCGGTAACCAGATGAATAGGAGGCAGTCGGAACAGGTGAGTCTATGGGAGGAGGCGCATCCTAGACAGAGGGCAGAAGGCTGAGGGCAGAGCTGTGGGGGAAGCTCTGAGGCTGGAAGGGGAGGCCCATGTGGCTGGAGGGCAGAGAGCAGGAGTGGGTGCAGCATAGTGGGGGAAGAGGCTGGGAGGTGGCCTTGGAGACAGAGGGCAGGCCCTCCATCCAGGCTACACAGGAAGTGATCTGTTGCCCTCTGGCTAAAACTAACTGCGTTCAAGTTCATTCTTTTCCACCTAACGGTCATTTTCTTTCTCTCTCTCCCTCCCTTTCTTCTGTTCTATCCAGGAGAGACTGCATAGATTCGAAGATGACGACGAACTTAACCTGGTCTACGAAAACCTCTAGAACAGGCTCCACCGCCCACAGAGCTTGCCCTGGGTCAGAGGACCAGGCAGCCCCTGCCACCAAAGGACTAGACCTAAACTGGGAGAAAGGCCCCCAGGGACACCCCATCATCTCACCCTCACATTCAAGGCCCTTTCTGCCTTGGCTGGCCCCACTCCCCCTATTCTGTGACTCGGCCACCAAGGGTTTCACATCTTGGGGCCTTTGCCAAGGCTGTTCCTTCTGCCAGGTGGTCCCTTCCTCCCTTGGCCCAACCAGCAAAGTGCTCCTCAGTCTTCAAGGGGTCTCCTGGGTGCCACCCTTGCCCAGGGCCCTGCTCACCACCTCTTGCTGACAGAGCAGCGTGCTCTCTTGGCACCAGCCTGCACCTCGGCCAGCAGGGCAGCCTCTGAACTGAGGGGGGACCCGGCAAGGGCCTCTTAGTGCTGTGTTGGGAGCCGAGGCATGGAGGGGCTGGGGAGCGGCTGCTCAAACCCCCACCTGCCCAGCTGGACCAGAGGCATGAGGCAGCCACGCAGGGCTGGCTGGGAGGTCTGCTGGATGGACAAGGACGATGGACCCCTGCAGAGGCCAGACTGGTGTCAGGGACAGATCTAGAGGTCTAGAACACAGCTGGCTGGGGACCTGGAGCAGAGAGGGCTTGGGTACAAGCTGGTGAGGAAGCAGATTCTGGCGTGTTTGGGATGAGGGCAGAGGGACTGATGAGGGAAGGAGGGTGCTGGCTAAACAGGAGCTAAAGGCCGGGCGCGGTGGCACACGCCTGTGATCCCAGTGCTTTGGGAGGCCGAGGCAGGTGGATCACGAGGTCAAGAGATCAAGACCATCCTGGCCAATATGGTGAAACCCCGTCTTGACTAAAAATACAAAAATTAGCTGGGCATGACAGTGTGCGCCTGTAGTCCCAGCTACTCGGGAGGCTGAGGCAGGAGAATTGCTTAAACCGGGAGGCAGAGATTATAGCGAGCTGAGATTGCACCACTGTACTCCATCCTGGCGACAGAGCGAGACTTCGTCTAAAAAAAAAAAAAGGAGCTGAATGGATAGCCTGAAGCTCCCCCTCCCCTAAAGGTCCCCATTCCCATTGGCCTGTGTCATCTCCTTGGTCACCCTCAGGCCTTCCCCACAGCCGGGCCTCAGCCATCCCTCCTTCCACCTAAGGTGCAGTGCCCCAAAGCCCCTTCTGTCTGGCCTGGCCTGTGCCCACCACCTGTGGTGTCATCCAGCCCTCCTGCTCTGTCTTTACCTGCTATAAGCCCAGCCCTGGTCTCCTGTGGATTGAGGTCCCAAGTGGTCCAGCTGTGAGCATGCATGGCGAGGAGGGCTTTCGCAGGCTGGCAGAACCAAGTGGCAAGGCCCTTGCTCCCAGAGGCTGGATCTGAATGCACTCGGGGCCTGTGTGAGGTGAAGCTGGTAGGTGTGCATGGCGGCCTCCCAGGCTCCTGGCTCCACCAGCCTGAGGTGGGGGCGAGGGCCAGGGCAATGGGGGGCAATGCTACTCAGGGTGCAGTGAGCCGCCTCAGGAAATCCGGAGCCAGCAACACAAGGAGAGGGCTGCCGCACTGGGCCTGCCTCCTCCACCTCCTGGGCCTCTCTAATCTCAGCTCCCAGACCCTGGACCCTCCAGCTGGGACTCAGCCTTTCCCAGTGTGTTTCAGGGGTAGAGAGGGGAGCCTGGAGGGAGCTTTACTACTGTGCCCTGGCCCGGGTGTCATCAACACGGCCTCCTGCAGCTGCCCTGCCCCCCACAGACCCTGATGAAACCCACACCTGGCCTCGGACCCCCCTGATGCACACTGCATGGTTTTTGCCTCACTTGGAATAAAATTCCAACTCTTCCCTGTGTCCTAGGAGGTTCTTGGGGGCTGACCATCACCCCTCTGGTGGATGTAGACATTGCCAGCATGGTGGTCAGCTGCGCTTGGTTCAGGGCAAGGCTGGGAGGCAGTGGGTGCTGAGGTCTTCAGTGAGCAAGGAGAGAGGCTGGGAGAAAGAGGGGGGGGAGGAGGGGATAGCATGGAAGGACAGGACCCTAAAGGGCTTTGACCCAAGGGAGGGTGGGGCAAGAAAGTTCCAAGATTTCTGTGGGCGGCAAAGAGGACTGAACACCTGTTCTGAGCCCCCAGGACTGACAGCCTGCAGAGGCGAGCTGGCTCAGGGCAAGGGGTGGCAGTGAACTTCAGGGTGGGAAGTGCAGGTGGCAGTGGGTGCCGGGAGGAAGAAAAACAGAAAGGGGACAGAGAGGGCATGAATGTGAGCTGCTGGGGTGCAGGCTTGCTTTCCACTTGAAATGGGTGGAGGAGAGAAGAGAAGAAAACTGCTTTTGAGAGCATCACCTGCTCCACCCCCGACAGCCTTGTGGCCTTGGCAAGTCCCTGACCACCTGAGCCTCGGTTTGCAGTGATAGTCAAGACAGCTCAGGCCAGGCGTGGTGGCTCCTGCCTGTGATCCCAGCACTTTGGTAGGCCAAGGCGGGTGTATCACTTAAGGCCAGGAGTTCAAGACCAGCCTGGCCAACATGGCGAAACCCCAGTTCTACTACAAATCCATTTGCCTGGTGTGATGGTGGGCACCTGTAGTCCCAGCTACTCGGGAGGCTAAGGCAGGAGAATCGCTTGAATCCGGGAGGCAGAGGTTGCAATGAGCCAAGATGGCCCCACTGCATGCCAGCCTGGGCAACAGAGCGTGACTCTGTCCAAAAAAAAAAAAAAAAAAAACACAAAAAACTGCTCAGTGTCTCTCAGAAAGGACAAATGGGGACTCCCTGGCTCCCTAGCTCAGGCAGAGGCTCAGTGGTGTGCATTTCCCTCAAGATTCGTCCCTCCGAAGAAACAGGCTGCTGGGGCAGTGCAGAGGGTGTAAGTGACAAGCAGGCTTACCTGGGAGCTGGGGCCCGGGCTCTGCAGCCATGCCTGTAAGGAGCGCCTGCGGTGTAGCACGATCAGGGGGACAGGCCAGGGCTGCCCAGAGCTGGGGGTGGCGGCAAGGCGAGCAGAGAGGTGAACAGAGGAGGATGCTGGCTCAGCAGGAGCTGAATGAATGGGCCTGGAAAAGAGCTGAGAGTGGGGTGGGGGTGGCTTGAGCGGAGTAGCTGAGGCCCAGGTGAAGGGGAGCTGAGGGCCTTCCAGGAAGGACGGATGTGAGCAGTCCTGAGCGGGATGGGCTTAGGGTGGGGAAGGGAAGCCCCAGGCAGCCCCTGCAGGCCTCTGCCCCTCTGCCCACTGCCCCCTGTCCTGGTGGGATTTCCCACCATCTCCCCGCCCAGCCTGCCCCACCCTCCTAGGTCTCTCCAACCTTGCCCTCTGCAGACACATCTCAGCCACGTCTGGCACCCCCAGACTTCCCTGCCTGCCTCTAGGAAATTGACCCCTTCAGTGGGTTTCAGCCTCATCAAACTCCCCTCTGCTCGGCTCCTGCTCTGTTAGCACTTGCTTGAGAAAATCATCCTGGGAAACCAGCCTCTGGGAGCAGGGGCCTTGCCCCTCAGTTCTGCGAGCCTGCCAAAGCCCTGCTTGTCTTGTGCTCGAAGGCGGGGGCCCAGAACCAAGCTAGGAGGCCACTGGCTGCCCTCTGGGACCAGGGAAGCCTGGGGCCACCCTAGCAGGGGGCCCAGGGACTTCTTTTGGAGGTCAGTCTGTGGCCAGCAGTCTACCACCAGCCCAGAAATTGAAGTGGGCGTGGGAAGCGGTGTTCCCTCCTCAGCAAACATTTCCAGAGGATTCTGGCAGCAGAGTTTCCATGGGAACATGTGCTGGTTCTCCGCTGAACCCGGTGGGGCTGGGGGTTCCCTTCACAGCCAATATTTCGGACCTGAGCCTGGTAGCCTTGGCCAGGGTGGGCAGTGCTCTCTGGCCACCCACTCTCACAAACCTGAACTCAAGTTACAGGCAAAACCTGCTTTTCCTTTTTCTTTTTTTAAAAGCACATTCTAATTTAAAGGCCACGTTCCATTCTAAAGACGCCTCTGGGATTTCAGAGATGGATTTTTGTGTAGTTCAATAGTTTTCTTGGCAGACAGCTTATGCAGGAGGGGTGGCTCAGTCCAGCCAGGATGAGTGGCATCGCTCCGTTTCCCCAAACACCAGGGGATGTCATTTGCCCACCTGAGGGGCTTCCTCAGTCTTAAGCACAAGGCTGTGGTCAGAATGATGGCCTCAGCCTTGACTGAGCACGGGTCAGGCCAGACTCTCTGCACTTGCTGTCAGCGTGTGTGTTGTGTGTGTCTGGAGGTGACATATGTGGGTGACACAGGCATATGTTGCAGTAAAACATTAAAACTACAGCAAAGTGGAATTCCCCCGATGCACCTGCCACCTCCCAGCCTCCCTACCCCTCCCCTCTGCAGCAGTAACCAACCGGGTCATTTGGGAGTGTTCTCTTCGTTGCTGCTTTGATTGCATCTAGGCGCATACCTGTGAACATGGGAAAGATGGAGCTTCTGCACAGCCGCGATGGACTCATTATGTAGGTGTTGTTTGCACTCGCTTTGTTTATGCAGCCCCACGTGGTGGGATGAGACGGAGACGGAGACGGCACACAGGAGCTGCCAGACTCCAATTACAGCAAAGGATCCTGCAGGACAGACGGATCCTAATGTAATCAGGCCCTTATTGAAGGCCTTTTCAGTTGTTTATGATTTTTCAACCTCAACACGTAAGTGGCTGGCTGCAGGGGATATCCTTGTACACACACATCTGCAAAACTTTCTCCATTGGAAATGAGAAGGGATTCCTAGGGCCCAGGGCATGGAAGATTCACTGTTTTAACAGTCACTGCCAAATTGTCAGCCCTGAAGTTGGACTGGTTAATATTCCTTGGACTCTTTATCTAGAATATCTCATTTAATCCTGAAAATAGGTTGGGGATGGTGGGTAGGGGCGATCTCCCCATTTTACCAAAGCAGAAGTTACTGCTCAGAAAAGCTGACTGGCTCCGGGTCACACAGCCTAGGAGGAGCAAGGCTGGGCTGCTTTGACGGGTGTGCAGTCCTGCTGTCACCAAGGCCGGGTTGGGGAGGGGATGGATAGGGGATGGGGGAGGCAGAAAGAGCCACTAAGAGATGTGGTGCCCCCAGGACTAGGGAAGCCCATAGAAGGACAGATTTCCTTCAGTGATGGGCTGGCCTCCTCACATTCCTCATACCCAGTTTCTCAGAAGTGTGTGTGTTGTGTGCGTGTGTGTGGTGTGTGTGTGTGTGTGTGTGTGTGAAGTTGGGGGAGTCCTCCTGCCTCCCAGTAGTCTATCTCCTTGGGGAAATGGAGGCAGGTCCTTAGAGATGCAGGATTTGGGCCTTCCCAGCAGCCCACACCCGCTGTGAGGCCTGGATCCTGGCAGCTGGAATGCTCTGATCCTGTCTACCCTGGAAATTCCCAGGCACAGCATGCCTGGAGGTGTGAGCCGCCTCTTAGAAGCTTTATAATCCAGGATAATGCTGCTGTAATTGGCATTGTTTTGCCTTTACAATCCTCTCATTACCTGAAAACGAACTTTGCAAATGGCTGCATCTGGAGTGGGTTTTATTTTTACCACTTTGTGGACCTTGAGGGACCAAGAAGTGGTGGCACTTTCTCTGTCTCCCCCTTGCCTGCACCATCCCCATCCCCCAATGAGCTCCCCAGGCCCAAGTGGGCCAGATCCTGGCCTTGGCTCAGGACACAGCCCTGTACCTTGCTCCCTGCCATGGGCTGATCCAGGGAGGTCTCTTCTCCCCAGATGCCCCTTCTGTCACCCATTAAGTCCACCCATAAGAGCCTCCCTCCA